GTGACTTCTTCTTTTAAAGCATCAAAAAAGATTTTTCCGAAATCATCAACAAGATAAATTCGTTTTGGGTTAATAATTTCATAAAATTGATATACTTTAGTTTCTGCTCTTATGAATAAACAGAAAATCTCATATAATAATTTAATTCCATTTTCATAACTATCATCTTTAGGATGTTCATTAATATCTGATAATAATGAATAAAAACAATACCATAACCTTAATGCACTTTCTCCTCCAAGGTTTGGAAAATAATAACTGAATTTATCATCTAATGGAGGGGCAATAAAAATCTCATCAGGAAAATCAAGATGAGTAGAACGTGTAACTTTCTTAGTACCAACTATTACCTCATCAGTGTTTTCCAATAAAAGAGGAGAATAAAAATCTTTTAGTACTAGTCGTGTACAATGACGAAGTTTCATAGCAATTTGATCCATAACAAAACTAACATTATAATGATTAGACAAACGAATTCTAAGTTGAACCCAATCATCATTGGTTCTTTCCCATTTTATGTAAAGAATAAATATTAAATCAACAAATGAACCAACACTATTACCAAAATTTGCTTTTACTAAAATATTAATACAATTTAATACAGTTTCAATGATGGTTTGTTTTATTTCATCATTAATGGCAATTGATGCTAATTTAATAATTTGATTTTTAATTTCTTCAATGAGAATCTTTGATACTGATTGATTTCCAATAACAAAAGGTTTATCAAATAATGTTGTAATACTTTCAATCAAATATTTTTGAAGTTCTGAAACAACTTCTTTTGGTTGAGAAGTGAAAGGATTTGAAATGAAAAGGTCAGTGAAATATTGAATGGTGGCAATGATAACAGCATGAGTAATATCTTCTGGAGTAATTTGTAAAACATAAATATAAAAGTGTTTAATGAATAAAACAAATGCAGGACGTGTTTTTAATCTATCAGCAATAGGAGAAGACATTAAATCTTTAAAAGAATCAAGAACAAATTTATCAAGTGAAGCAGGAGGTAATTCACCTTTTTTACCAATATTAGGATGATTTAATTTATATTTATATTGAGCCTCTTCAGCAAAATTAGGATAAATATATGATAACATTACTTCTACTAAAAAGAATAATTTATCAAATTGTGAAGGTACTTTAACAAGTTTAAGAAATGACGTAATTAATTTGATTGTCATTGAATATTGATCTATATCTGTTTCTGATGGACAATATGATGATTCTGCATAATCCAGTTTACTTACTGGAAAATCAGTAGATTTATTATATAATTGTCCTAAATTAATTGTTTTAATAAACATATCAGTTAATTGTTCTTGTTCACCATATTTAAAGAAACAGTCAATAACAAAACTAAATGCTGCTTCTCTAACTTCTGGATGTGTTTCAATTTTAAGATAATTAAATAAAAATTTTTCTATTTATTAATTTTTTCTTTTTAAGTGTTATACAAAACAATTTTATTCATTATAACAAACGATATAAATCAAAAACAGTTAGTTCATTTAATTGATAAATACTTGTCATTATATTTAATATTTTTATATGGTTAATTGCATCTTTCACTGACACTGATACTTTCCCTTTCTTTGTATGATTTTGAACATACTGTGTTATTTCTATTATAAATCCAGCAAATCCTTGTTTATCTCGTTTAATAAATAAATAAAATTCATCTGGATTCATCTTTTCACTTAATGCAATACACGCCTTTATTCTATTTGAAACACTTTCTTTGTTGTCATATAATTGTGTTTGTTTTTTACGTATTTTTTTATCTAAGTCAGTGCTCATCGAAGATTGAACTATCTATTTATTATTAATAAGTTCTATTTATTTTTAGAAATCCATTTGAATAACTTTTTATTTTAAATTTTTTTTATTTTTACACAATTACGTCTTTTCTCTCCCTTTATTTTTATTTCATTTTTTAGGTTGATCTTTTTTCATATATTTTTAAGTTTTTTTTATCCTCTTATCTTTTTCCTTATTCTATTAACTTTCATATTCTTTTTTTC